TTAGGATTGGGCTTGGGTTTGGGTTTGGGTTTGGATTTTGATTTGGGCTTTGGTACAAGACCAAGATAAGGGAATAGGTTTGTGTGGGCCTACTTTAAGCCTCATCCAACTTGGAAGGTAGAGAGTGNGGTTTGGGTTTTGATTTGGGCTTTGGTACAAGACCAAGATAAGGGAATAGGTTTGTGTGGGCCTACTTTAAGCCTCATCCAACTTGGAAGGTAGAGAGTGGAGAGAGACTAGAGGGGAACAAATGCACATGCTAATGCTGCCACGATGTCTTTCACAAGCCCTTGGATCACAAACTCATATGGACAACCATATATTAGTAATAGTATCTTTGTCCCCGAGTTAATGTGAGGTCAATCAATGGATACACACAAGGATGGGGGTCGATTGTTGAGAGGTCCCATTCACGCAACATCTTCTATAGCTTGCATTCTCTTTATCATGGTATCCACAGTTAACTAGATCATGAAATATTTTTCTTTTTCGATTCTACTATGCAATCGACCATTCACCTTGTATTTATAGGGAATTAACCTATATNTCTCCACAGTTAACTAGATCATGAAATATTTTTTTTTCCGATTCTACTATGCAATCGACCATTCACCTTGTATTTATAGGGAATTAACCTATATATAATGTATATTACTTTAATTCATGAGGGTATTGATCATCGAAGAAAATTGAAAAAAAAAAAAAAAATCAACCGAATGAAGTTCAAATCCTATTATAGTATATTAATAGTGATTTAGTAGTATTATTTTTTAATCAGTATAACACTACCTAATTATTTGAATTTTAGGCATAGTATTAGGAATCGATAACTACATTACTCTTGGTTGTCCCATCTATCTGAACGAGGACAATTAATTCCAATAGTCACATTCATTTTGGCAAAATATAAGAAAACATGAATAATTAATAAAGAATTTATCTTCACTCATTTGTTTGTAATGGACAAAAGTGTACACAAACTCTTGTTGTGTTGTTCCTATACTTGTTTGCATCCATTCGGCTTTTGACATATATATATATGGGCTTTGGTGCATCCACTCTTATTTTTCTATTAATTTCTCAATAAATAAAAAATCTATAATGTCCTTCATGGGTGTTTCCTTTGGTAGGGTAGTGACAGAGAGACGCTACCGTTTGCCCACTTTTCACTTTCCTCCTTCTTTTTGGACTTAATATGACCGTTTAAGCAATAATCAATAACCCCTCCCCACCCACCCCAAACCACTTCATAGTGTAATTTCTTACTGGACTAGAGATAGAAAGGTGATTTATATTTTTTGGTATATACTGTGGATCATTATTATAGTGAAGAATTAATTTTTAAAACTTCAAAATAATGCATCTAGTAGAGAGAACGATGTAGATAAAGCCCCAACGAGGTACAATAGAACCCACAAATAAAGAGAAGTAAAAAAAAAAAAAAATCTGAGTCTTGCTTTGGTTAATAGCATTTTGTGAAAATTAATATTTTTTTTTATTCAATTGTCAGAGATGTGTGAATTAACTTATACGCACTTCGACTAATTTCTTCTTCGATTCGATTAAAAATTGGTCATCCACGTTGGTACTAGATTATTAAAGAGAGATAAATATCTTATAACTTGATCTTAAGGATTATCAAAATTTAAATTTAAAATATCTGCATTTATAAAACTCAATTGGTCAAAAAGAATTTGTATTCGAAAACTGCTGTTTTGACTCTCAAAATGCCGTGCGGAAGGGCCATCCGTTCCAATTTGCAATAGTGCCAGTCAGATTGCTTTATGTTTGCACGCATTAGGGTCCTTCGTCCTACTTTTAGAAACAATGTCCAAACATTCTGCCATAAAGTCTCTCTCTCTCTCTCTCACTCTCACTGACACATCTTGCCCAATCTCACCAAATTGTCCCCTTCTCTCACTTGTTTGACATTGAATATGAAACCACCCTTTAACAAAATGACTGCTTTAGCCTCTCTAGCTTCCAATTCAGTTTTTCTCCTTACAATGGTTAATCGTCTCAACTATGTTTCTTTTAATTCCCTAAATCATTTGTTAACTATAAAGATCGATTAAGTATCTATTGCAAGACTTGAACTTATAGCTTGAAAATATTAACTTCAGGTTGTAATCCAAGTTGGCCTAATAGATTTTTCATTTGAATATTTCATTAATTTCCTCAGTTTCTTCTCATGTTGCGAAGAATTTTCTTTTCTTAAGTTATAAAAAATTATATCATGTATATTTTGAATATATCGCATATAATTGTAATACGAGTTTTGTATGCCTTGCAGATATTCACAAATACCCATTTTTGATTAGTTGAGAATTTGAGCCTAAAACTTCAAGGTACAATATTTTTAAGCCTTTTTATTTGAGTTAGAGTGATGACATAGTGTTCATTGTATATTTGTATGATAAATTCACGGATACCCATTTCCGATTAATTGAGAATTCGAGCCTAAAACGTAAAGGTACAATATTTTTAAGCTTTTTTATTTGAGTTAGAGCAATGACTTGGTGCTCATTGCATGATCACGATGGAGTCTCAAATTTATATAGAATGCCATGCACAGTGTTGGGTCCAAGTCCAACTCATGTATGATCTTTGTGTGCTAATCAAATACCTAGCGTAAAATCTTAGGGAGTTCGGTGGTTGAATTTGACTTTTACTAATAATTTAGAAGTTTTAGATTTGATTTCTTCTCACACCTCTTAAAAGCTAATTACTCTTAACTCTTTAGATACATGATTTAACCCAACTCAACCCACGGTGATCAATCATTAAATTCGAAAAAATAGTCAACATAAATCTAAATACATTGTAACAAAAAAAAAACACCTCGAGAATGACAAATTTTAATCAGACCCNAAAAAATAGTCAACATAAATCTAAATACATTGTAACAAAAAAAAAACACCTCGAGAATGACAAATTTTAATCAGACCCACTGCCCAACACAGCACATAAAAAAAAAGGGAAAAAAAAAAACCAGTGCATCTCAGAATTTGATAGATGTTAAATTATAATACAGTAGCTTGTAACAAGGGGAAATTAATCCTGAGGGGCTCTTTGGCATAGTTATTATTATCATTATTTCTGCATTTTTTAAGGGGAATTCGTCAACGCGATTAAGACAAATCAATCTCAATATATATATACATGAGTATTATGGTAGAATTATAGGCTGATAAGACCAATTTATGAGGCTATAAACCTATGATCTTAATAACATGTCACCACCTCAATCGATGACTAAATTAGATCTAACGTGGGCCCTTCTTTCATTGTCCTAACTCCTAACCCCTTATCTGTTATGTTAATTTTAATATTTATATTTTGATATTTATCTTAGATTTGGTGGGTTAAGTTGACAGTTGATTACTGCCATTGCCATTTTCTTCAAACCTGTTAAAAACCGCCAACATCAACTACTACTTTAATTTACTAAATATCGTCACAACCCCATAGCTGAGAGGTCTCGAATTGAACCTAACATCTTTTATGATCATTTAAGTCTTGTAGTGCAACCATGTGACCGTCAATTTAGTCCGACTAATCAAACGTCACCACCAAAACCTCTCTAGTGGGCCCTCAATTTAGAGTAATACTCCGTACGTTCTTAAATATCTATCGTTTAAAGTTTTTACACAGGGATTAAAGAAATTATTAAATAACTCTAATATGATTAAAAAATAATTACACAAGATTAAAATATTCTTATTCAATATGTATTGGGAAAGAAAAAAATATGAAAGACACTTAACCTCCACCTAATCTAATGCATTTAAAAATTAAGGGTAAATTTGGAAGAAAAAATATTAATTATACTTTGATTTTATAAAACGACAGATATTATGGAACAAAAAAAATTATGTAAAATAACAGATATTTAAAAACGGAGAAAATACTATTTACACTTAATTTGTTTACTTAATTACGCATAACAGTTAGATTGACAAGGGACTTGGTATTTGTTAAGACATGCTCTTTTTTGTCTTTTGTGTTATAAGATGTTTAGACTCATGTTGATTGTACTTTCTCGAACTTTGAGTCAATTGTCGTAGAATTAGTTTTAAGAATATATTTCTTAAAAAATAAGAGTGGTTGATTCTTAAAAAATATAAAAAATATTAAACCTAAAACTTCTTATTTATAAGATGACGGGCTGCATTAATAAAATAATCATGATAAGTTAGGATAATAAATTAGGTTGAAATAATATTATTGTTAAATTTATTGCTAAATAACTCATGTCCTTGATGGGTCCTGTCTGCACTAATGCACGTAATAACTAGAGGGGGCCCCACCCAAATTAATCTACACCCTTTGATCAACCCCACCCTAATCTACCCTTATCCCGACCAGGTGTGACACTGACACACCAACCCGTCGCCGTCTTCCTATGGGCCAACCCCTTGAATTTTCTCGAGACCCAAATCACAAGATATTTTTTATTTTCTTAATAATCAACATTATTTTTATTAGGGGTTGAAATTTGACGAATTTAGTTTGGATACGCATGAGTGGTGATTTTGTGAACTATTGACTGGTGATGGTGAACGTGTGTAAGAGCCAACAACGATGGTGATTTCATATGGTGGGTGTGTTAAAACTTAATAATCGAGTCGAATCAGTCAAATTTATATTTTTAAGTTGAATTCAAATAATTTGATTATTTTATATATAATTTTATAAGTTTGAGTCGAATTTTTTGTGATAGTCTCTGAATTTGAAGACGTGATCGGTACAAGCCTGGACACTGGAAAAAAAAAAAGCTTCTATTTAGGCAATTAGTTCAGGCAGTTTTGTAAAAACCTATTACAAGGGCGGTGGCAAAGTTGCACAGCATGGGAAGTTGCGCAATTTCCTAAAGTTCAGGGGCGGTGGACATTGATGTTCTGTAGGGGCCTATTCGTCAATATGTCTTGTAGGAACTATTCCTCACGCGCGTACAAACGGCGACCAACGGAATTTAAAAACTCACGAAATACAAGCACTCCATTATTCTGTATTTTAGTAAGTTTTCTCTCTCTCTCCCTCCAAGTGTTTTTGCAGTCCAAAGTCTCCAAACAGATCGTATCCGGCGTTGTTTCCCTCAACTCTTCTCTCCAGATTCCTTTCTCTTCGTCTCATCTTTCCACATCTCCGTCTCCAAGTTCTATTATACTTTCCATCTGTTTTCTCGCAATATTTCCATTTTTTGTTGTTTTTGCTTCTGAGAAACATGTAACTGCTTCAACAATCATCGTTCGCATCAACAGGTAATTCAAAATTCCGTATTAATTCAACCAATGCGTTATAGTTTATGATTGCTTCAAACTTGTGTGT